TGTAGTGGTGAGAGCGCTGGAATTGAGGACCCGGCTTCAAAGCCTCAGACACTTACAAGGTGTGTGAACCTGGAAAAGCACCTTAACCTCTCCGATCCTCAGTGTCCACTTCTATAAAATGAAGGGGTTGGTGGCACTCAATGTCACTTGGAACTCTAGAAAGATGATCTGAAGATCTTATTTCCAGCTTATTTCATCTCCTTCTTCTTCTGACAGTCTATAGAACCTCGCAGACTCTGTCCTGCAGCACCACCCTGCCTTCCCTCTGGCTCATGCCATCCCTCTCCTCCATCTTTATCTGCTCAGGCCCCACCCAAGAGCCACTTTCTCCAGATCCCCTTGGTGCTCCCTTCTAGACAAAATTTCCTCAAATTTCCCACGTCTCGTTCCTTGAAATTTTCTTTTGCTGTATTCCCTCACCCCTAGTCTCAGTTATTTGTTGACATGTCTTAACCTGAATAAAGGAGGCAAGATAATACCAATTCTTGGACTGAACTATGTTGCAGGTATATGGGTATACATACATACAGGCATTTTTTGATTTTCATAATTCATAATTAAATAGATGCATTAATTCATTTCTTATTTGTGTTGTGTCTTCCACATACGCCAGTGGAGACCTCCATTCCTACGTAGGCTACAAGGGACTAGGGATTGCTTTATTCTTTGTCCTTGCATTGCCAATCGCCTGCAGATCAGCCCACAGGGTCTCCCACAAAAGAGGAATGCAACATTCAATATAATCCAACAATCATTTATATGGGACCTACTATTCGCAAGGTGCTATGCTGGGTGTACAAAGCGATTCATGTAGTTGGACTAGATACCTCTGAAATTGTGGGGTTTTGTTTCTTGTCCCCCAAGTCTGTCAGGTCTGACTGTCCTAGCCCAGCAGCATGAGCATCTTCGAGAGCTGCCATTAGGGTGACGTGGCCTTCTACAAACCCCGCCCTCTCCAGTCAGGCAGAGTGAGTGCCGGGAGATAACAAGAGGCCGGTTGACCGCCAGACTTAACAACTCCAAGCCAAGTGGAGCTATTCCAAGTCAGAAATTACATTTCAGGCCCTTGACCTTTCAGAGAAGGTAGTCAGCCCCAAGGAGAGCACCCAGGTGCTTAAGGGTGGGAATGTGGCAGTTAGCCATTCCAAGGCAGCCAAGAGTGTCCAATAATAAAGTACCCAAGTACTGGAGACAGAATCCTTACTGGACAAGTCAACTCTTACAAAAAACATGGCTAGCACGATTTGGTGGGAATTAGTACCAAGCCCTTCCCTTTCCCCCTTTCCTGCACTTCCCCCAATAAAAACTGCTAGCTATATAAGATGCCTGTCTACGGACAGGGACAAAATCTGAAATTTCACTGCTACCTAATGCTAGCACCTCCCCTGGGATTATCTCTCTTTTATTTGTGTGCACACAGCTTGCATGCTGTCTCCACCATTAAATGATGAGCTCTTTAAAGACGGTTCATTCCCTTTTATTTTAGCCTTAGCACTGAATGCAGTGCCCAGCAGATAGCTCAATACATGCCTCTTGACTTGAAGGGACTCCCAGATGAGGACACTTCCTCTACCAATGAAGGTCTGCATCCTCTCTGCAAAGTATAGTCTTAGAAAGCTTCCAAGAGCACTGAGAAGCTAAATGATTCACCCGGGATCACCCTAGCTCTGAGGGTAACTTTCTAAGCATTAAGGCATTCTGCTTTTCATGACATTTCATCAATACAGGCTGATCTCCCTGAGTTTCTTTCATCACTGGGAATCTGACGGTAGCTCTCAAAATCCAGGCCTACGTGGGGGGAGGTTCCTTGGAGGAGATGCAGTTTACTTTTGCTATTCTTAACTCTCATCTCTATATTAATTGGAGGCTTCTCAGGTTCCAAAGACACCACTCCGGCTTTCTTCAAGGACTGAAATCCTCAGGGATAATGGGGAGGGAGAATATTCTCCCTATTCAGCCTCTATGTCCTCTTGTTGTAAAAATAGGAATGTCCCATGGATGCTAATTTTAAAGTAAATTTCCCATTGTATAAAAATAGTTACACTCCCTCGGACATTAATTTTAAAGTTGGCTTTTGACAAAGTTCGGCTTTCCTGCTTGATTTGGTCTAAAAATCACGCCTCCTTAAAAACATTCCCATCAACCTGAAGGTTGCTCTAGAAGGCTTATTGTTCAGGAACTCACTTATAATGAGCTCAAAAAAGGGATACATTCAGGTGGGGCTTGGCAGTTACTGGAAATAGGACAGAGTCTGATCTAAAAAAAACCCCACAAAACCCCTGTGATTTTGGGCTTGGAAAAGACCATTTTTTGTCCCATTCCATAACCAGGCCCTGGAAATCATGGGAATGAGTGCTTTGGGCTCATCAGGACTTCCAAGAAGCAGAAGTGGTGTCTGCCCATAATAAGAGAGAGCTTAACTCTGCAAGCTTTGATGCACCCCGGGCCAGAAGCCCTTCAGCAGAAAGTCATCCCCATATCTCACTGACCCACTGAGCAGGGAGGCCAACGAGGAAGCGGCATCCACCCAGTCCAAACCAAACTTGAACAGTACCTTCTCTACAATACACTCACCTTATGGGTATCTTTTCGTCAACATCAATCCTCAGTCCTAGGTAGTAAGGAGGTGTGGTGCACAGAACACTGGCCTTAGGAAACACTGAGTTAGAATCTTGTCCCAGATATCCACCAGGTACATGACCAGATGAAAGTCACATAACCACTGTCTGCCTCACTTTCCTCATTTCTAAAAGGGGGCTAATACTGGCACCTAACTTCTAGGGTTGCTGAGAGGGTCAAATCTGTAAAGTCTTTTTCAAAGAATCATGTCCTTCCTATGATAGAAACTACTTTGGCTTTCAATGATAGAATCAAGCAGTGAATTATGTTTGAAATGAAATAGAAATAAATTTCCATTTCTCTAGGTTAGCTCTCCCTCCTGAACTGTCTGGAAGGAATGGCATCTGGTCTGATGAGGTATAAGTATTTGGAGTCATCCATGTGTCCCATCTACTGCTGAAGACTAATAATTTTGGCCTGGACCACATCTGCTGGTTTGGATCACGAGAGGAGAGGGTACATCAAGGCAAAAACCGTCTCTGACATTTTAACTTAGAGAGATCACAGGGAGCAGAAAATTATACAGGGCACGTGACAAAAAAAAAAAAAGACGTAGCCCGATATGAAGTATGAAAAGGAAACAAGGCACTAAAATATTGTTCATGTGCTAAGAAACACGTTGGAGCATGCATGCCAATTCACAACAGAAATTCAGAGTAGAGAAGGGCATTTTTCCACATGAGATTATGGCTTTTAGTCAACGTTTGTGTGCATATGTGACTGCCTATGGTGATGGTGGTGGCAGGAGGCAGGGTGGGTACAACAGAAACCACCATTTATACATATATATCAAAAATAGATATATGCTTTTTTTTTTTTTAGTCTGGACCTATGGATTTCAGGAGGGACAACTCCTGGTGTGAAATTGCCCTCTACCAATCCAGAAGGACAACTAGTCTGCACATGATCATCTCAAAAAAGATTGATACCTTTTTTGTTTTTATATCAATTTCCCATTCCTTTCCTGATTGTCCATCTGAGAGCCTGAGGAAGTCACCTGACACACAGGCAGGTGAAGTGAGTTGTCCAGAGTCACACAGCCTATGGGGCTCCAAGGTGGGACTTCTACTTGAGGTCTTTATTCCAAGGAGAGTCCTTCATTCACTAGGAGAAATCACCTGTCCAAACCTATAGGTCTACTTGTTTGCATCTATCTGGGCACCTACAGTACAGCAAGGATAAATATATGTATACACAGATACTGATATAAAGATATAGGTATAGATGCAGATACCAGTGAAGATGTAGGTATAGGTGTTGGTGTAGACAAAGGCCTAGCTAATACATACCACTGTAGTATCAGTACCTTATTTGCAACGGACATCTTGGAGAGTGGACTGAGACACTAAGTTGTTAATTTATCCGCTCAAGCTCGCCCAGCCTGTATATAAGGGGCAGGATTTGAACCTCAAAGCATCATCTTAGAGGCCAGTTCTTTCTAAAATACACCATGCTGCCCATCCATTCTATGTATAAATCTACTTATCTCTCTATTTCTCTCTATCTTATCCATCTTATCTATCAATCATATCTACTCTTCATATCCATCCATGCATGTATCCATCTATCATATATCTATCCATCCATCTATCAATCATATCAATTTATCTTTCCATCCATCCATCATATATATATCATATCATCTTATCTATCCATATATTATATCCTCCATATCATATTCTGTCATTTATTATATCACCTCTCAATCCATCCATCAACCTATCAATCATATCAATTCATCTATCCATCCATCAATCCATCATATCATTTATGTATATCATCTATCATATCCTTCCATCCATGCATCAATCTATCTTATCATCTATCTATCCATCATATTCATCTATCCATTTATTAATCATATCAATTTATCTATCCATCCATCAACTATGTATTACATCATCTTATCTACCCATATATTATATCACCTATATAATATTATGTCATCTATCATATCATCTATCACATTCATCTATCCATCAATCATATCCATCCATCCATGAATCCATCTATCTCATCACCTACCTATCCATCCATCCATCAATCAATCATATCAATTTAACTATCCATCCATCCATCCATCAACTATGTATCATATCATCTTATCTATCCATATATCAAAATATCCATATTTTGTCATCTATCATAGCATCTATCACATCTATCCATTTATCACATCAATTTATCCATCCATCTATCCATCTATCAACTATGTATTATATCATCTAATCTATCTATATATTATATCATCTATATCATATCATGTCATCTATCATATCATCTATCTCTCCATCATATCATCTACCTCTATCTGTTTTGTGAAAACAACACACATAGAAATGGAACTTTTATTTTAAAAAACAAGTAACCTGTGGGTTTACCTTGGGAGTCAGATTCATTGGACTTGGGGCTACTCCTCGCTCGCCTCTCGGCCTTCTTGATGCCAGGGCCCCCGCCACCACCTCCCCCGCCACCGCTGCTCCCGGCATTGTGACCTTTGCCATAGCCGTTGTAGACAGCTGTGCAGTTGTTCAGGTGGCTTTTGTAGAGAGAGGAAGGGGGGCTGTTGAGACGATTCTGGCGGTCGGTCTGGCGATCCTTCAGTTTTTTGTGCTGGGGCTTGCTGTATTGGTCTTCTCTTGTGATATAGCTGGACATTCCGTATAGTGGTATGATTTCTGCAACAAAGGATGAAAAGTTCCCCGAAATGACCATGGGAGCCTCCCCCAGAGGCCAGGGCTTTTTCCCTCCTCAAATTACCTCCCGGTATTTATTTCAACTCAAGTCAGGCATTTATGAAGCACCCACTGGCTGTAAAGCCCAAGGTTTATCTGTTTGCATGCTGCCTCACTGGAGAAGAATGCAAGTCCCCTGAGGGTAGGAGCTGTTTTCCATTTGAATCTCTAAATCTAGATGCCTAGCTCTGAGGTTAGCGAAGAATAGATACAGAAGAGAACCTGCATTTATTAAGTGTTTACTATGTGCCACGCACTGTTACCAAATGCTACACATACTTAGCTAATATACGTCAAATAAATATCTTGTTTGATCATCACAACCACCATGGGAGGGAGGGGCTATTATCCTCATCTTACAGTTAAGAAAACTAGGGTATGTAGTGTTTTAAGTGACTTGCCCAGGGTCACACAGCTTTGTCTGTGTCTGAGGCCAAATTTGAACTCAGGTCTTCCTGACTTCAGGTCCACTGCTCTATCCACTGTGCAATCTAGCTGACTTGCACATAACAGGTGCCTGAGAAATGTTTGCTGAAATTGAAAATAGCCAAGGATATCGGCACTGGTCCACTCACCTTGCTCTCCATATAGTGTGGGGGGAAGATGGGGCTGGGGAAAAAAGCCGGGTGGCATATCTCCAGGTCCTGTGACAGGTGGATAGAAAGCCGTGTGTGAGTTATGGATAAAGTGAGGGTGATGGGCGAGGTACGGAGGTAAGTGGTGGGTCGGAGAGATGGCTGAGGGGTAGCTTGGGGGGTAACACTCAGGAGACTGGGGCGTGACCACCACTCGGCGGACTCCCGTGTTGTCTTCAATCACCTACAGAGGAATAAAAAAGGAAAAATACATTAGCAAACACTTTGAAGACACACGTTGCCTAAAATCATTCCTTATCTTTTCTTTCCACATAAAAAAATTTAAGTGTATACTCACTATAAACTCGACTATTAAAATAGTAATAAAAACAGCTAACATTTAAATAGCACTTTGAGGTTTCTAAAGATCTTGAAGGATTACCTCACTTGATCCTGGTAAGCTTTGTGAGGTAGGTGTAATCTGCATCTCCATTCTACAGATGAAGAGACTGTCCAGGGTCTCTCTCTCCTCCTTTGCTCCCTCTCTCTCCTTCCCATCCTCTCTCTCCTTCCCTTCTTCCCACCTTCCCTTCTTCTCTTTCTTCTTCCCTCCCTCTTTCTCCTTCCCCCCTCCTCTTTCTCTCTCTCTCTCTCTCCCTCTCTTGTTCCCTCCTTCCTACCCTACCTGCTTCTCCATCCCCTCTCCTCTTTCTGTTCATCTCTCGCACTCTCTCATATATATATATATATATATCCTTCTCTCCCTCTCTCATTCCCTCCCTCTCCCTCCTCTTTCTGTTCATCTCTCTCTCATATATATATATCTATATCTCCTTCTCTCCCTCTCTCATTCCCTCCCTCTCCCTCCTTTTTCTGTTCATCTCTCTTTCTCTCCCTCTCTCCTTCCTATGAAACCATAGGCTTCCTGACTCTGATTACATTACCCTATCATGTCACTTCTAAAAGACACACTAATAACCAGAAGATGTCCTCATGAGCTGCTTTACAGTGAATAATAAAAAGCAGAAAATCTTGTCAGAGAATGATGATTCCACCATGACAGTCTTCTCACCAGCCCCTTTTTTCTTTTTGAGCCACTATAATCTGGTTTACACTTACTGGCATGCTACAAAAGGTCAGCAATAAAGGCCTCAGGACCAGATGCAAATGCCATTTACCAAGTCAACAAGCATTTGTCATGTCTCGTGTGCCCGACTGTCCCATCCTTGAAACTAACTCCCATGTTTCTTGGCTTATGTGATACGTTGCAGCTTTATGGCCCTGCTATCTCTCATTCTGGGCCACTTCTTTCTCCTCCAGCCTCCATGGTTTCTGGGCTTGGTCCTCCTTCCATGTGTCTATCTTCTCTCCTAGATGGTCCCATCCATTCTTGCACCTTCAACTCTTAGAACTAGCCAGGTATTTTCCAAATCCTCACCTCCAATTTCTACTCCAAGCTTCAGTCTACATTTCATATTCACTTGGGTGTCCTGCCATTTGGATGATCCTCTGACTCAACAGATCCTACTGAAAACAACAACCTTTTCTTGACTTGGGTTTGAGGGACAGAGCTCTTTTTCATGACTAATTTATAATGCCAGACGTGCCTCCTCCCCATCCTTAATATGAGGCCATTTTAGGTTTAACGTATTGAAATGAACAACCTGTACACATCTTAGAAGGACGACCGTAGGATAAATCTATTGTCTTTGCTCACCCGTGTGTATTTTGTGTTCCTCAAGTAGAATGCAAATTCCCTGAGGGCTATGCTACCTAATTTTTATTTTTTTATCCTCAACACCAAGTATAAGACCTTTGCCCATCACAAGAAATTCTTCTTGCATAATTGAATGAATGAATTTCGAAATTAGGTTTTAGAATTTATAATAAATAACTTCAGCCCATGGAGAATTAGAGCTGGAGGTAGTGCTTGGGGCACATCATCTAGTCCAACCTACTCTCTTTACAGATGAGAAAACTGAGGCCAAGAGTAGTTTAAGAGACAAAACTAAGGTCCCATAGTTGGTAAGTAGCATAGCTGTAAATTCAATCCTAGGTCATCTGCCTCCACATCCCACGTTCTGTCCAGGGTACTATGCTATCTCCCTTAAGAAGCCTCTATTGAAATAATTACTTAAAAGATTTTTAGAGGAGATGGAGAAAAGGCAAGGATTCTTCTGAGCTCTCCCAAATTTCCTACCAGACAACTTTAAATAGAACCTCAAAACCAATTCTGGAGCAGCAGAATACACAAAGGATGAGGTAAAACACTTTTCCAGCCCAAGACAACTTAGAAGGTCAGCAAGAAAGGTCTATCACACCAGGGTGAGAGTGGAGCACTGTGCAGCACAGCCCAGACCCCAGCAAACCAGGAGCAGGCCTTGGGGCAACTGCATCAGCAGAAGTCCTAGTGGCTTCTGGAGCTCTTAGTCCACAGAGATACTGGGTGGGAAAACCAGTCAAGAGGAAATTACAGGAAACCCTTTGCTGGCAGTGGGTGCAGTATCTGTTATACTGCCCATACTGGGACCCAGGTCACAGTCTCAGGGTGAGGAGGAGCACTAGCACACCAGAAACTGCAGCCACAGTGGAGGAGAGACCTTGGTCATAGTTCCAGGGTAGAAAAGAGTGCTTGTGTGACTGGTTGCAGTGGAAGGGATCCAGTCTTTGCAGGGTATCTGAGGTATGACACTCCAGGTACCCGAATGAAGTTGAGGCCCGTCTCACTATAGGCACGAGAATCTAGCCAGCTTTAGGGGCAGAGTAGGAAAATGTGTCCTTGTGCTTTCCCAGGATGAAAATATTAGGAATAGTGTCTGAAGGGAGCAGTTAAGCTCCCTATCTGGTCTAGGTCTACGATTTTGTGATCTTACGAAATATCCTGACACCCATTCATTCTCTGAAACAACATTTATTAAATTCCTGCTCTACACAGAAAAAAAAGAAAGAAAAGAGTGCTTGTGGTCACTCACAAAACAGAGAGCACAGACCAGGAGAACAGTGACCACACCTCTCCTCAGCTCACACTAACTTGGAAGAACTGAAAACTTACAGACCCCTAGAACTAGCTCTGAAAATAGCCGCCCCAAAAAATGAAAAACAAAAACAATCCCCCCCAAAAGCCTGAAGTTTGGGATAAGTGTCCCCTCCACCACCAGGGTAAGAGGCCAACTTTAATGTAAAGTTAAAAGTCAAGAAACAGACTGGGAAAATAAGCAAACAACAGAAAAAGCACCTGACAATATAAAGTTACTATGGTTACAGGGAAGAGCAAAACACAAATCTAGAAGACGACAACAAAGTAAAAAATGCTACATGCAAAGCCTCAAAGAAAAATGTGAATTGGTCTCAGGCCTGAAGAAGAATTCCTGGAAGAGCTCAAAAAGAATTATATAAATCAAATAAGGGAAATAGAGGGAAAACTGGAAAGAGGAAAGAGAGTGATGCTACAAAATCATGAAAAAAAAAGTCAACATCTTGGTAAAGGAGGCACAAAAAATACTGAAGAAAATAATACCTTATAAGACAAAACAAACAAACAAACAAAAAACCCAGAATAAGCCCAAAAGTAAAAGAGGCACAAAAATCCACTATAAGAGAAGAACTCCTTAAAAAGCAGAATTAGCCACATGAATAAAAGATGTACAAAAATTCACTGAAATTGAGGGGATGCCATCAATTGGGAAATAGCTGAAGAAGTTGTGGTATGTGATTGTGATGGAATCTATTGTGCTATAAGAAATGACAAGCAGGATGCTCTCAGAAAAACCTGGAAAGACTTACACGAACTGATACAAAGTGAAATGAGCAAAACCAGGAGAACAATGGACACAGTAACAACAATATTATATGATGATCAACTGTGAATGACTTAGCTGTTCTCAGCAATACATGATCTAAGACAATTCTGAAAGACTCATGATGAAAAATACTATCCACATCCGAAGAAAAAAAGATAGAATCTGAATGCAGATCAAAGTATCCTTTTTTTTTTTACTTTTTTTTTTTTTGGTCTGTGTCTTATTTCACAACATGACTAATATGGAACTATGTTTTACAAGACTATACATGTATAACTTATATCAAATTGTTTGCATTCTAAATGAGGGGAATGGGGAGGGAGAGAGGGAGAGAATTTGGAACTCAAAATTATAAAAAATGAATGTCAAAAATTGTTTTTACATGTAATCGGGGAAAAATTAAATATCAAATAAATTGAATGAACATATTCATGTGTGTGTGTGTGTGTGTGTGTATGTGTGTGTGTGTATTTGGCCACAGTTTATCAAAGAGGAAGAGGGAAAGCCCTACCTTTTCAAATAAGGCTTTCCCTTTTTTTTTCCCTCCTGTAAAGTCCTCTTTTCTGTCCTCCTGATTGAACAATTCCACTCCAGCCCTAGATATATCTCCCCAGAAAAAACATGAGATCAAGCGACAAGCAGGGAGCCTGCTTGGTTTGAACCTAAGAGAAATATTATCTGGGCACAATTTTGTAATGAGATGCCAACTCTACTTATCTTTTGCCTAGATTGGGCTCTAAAGTGACAGGCACTTGTAGCGTTAATACTTTCATCAGCAAAGGAAAAAAAGATCTTTTCATCTTCAAAATTTAATTAAGCAAAGGCTTGAAAGACATCTTAGAATCGCCTACACAAGAATGACTTCTAATTTTAGGATAAAAATAGAACTTTTCATTCGTCTGGGCATCGGAACATGTGTTTACTGGTATTGTTAGGCTGTCTCTTTCTAGAACCCAGGGCAGAACTTGGGCACTGAGAAGGGGAAAGAACAGCACAACCTTTAATGACTTTGAAGAGCCACACATATTGAGTCAATGGAGCAGGTAGGAGGAAGATGGAGACTCCCTTTATTTAAATGTTGGTACAGCTGTTGCATAATCCATGGCAGAGACAGATCAGAAAGCTCGTCAAAGATGTGGGGACCAGCCTGTAGCACTTTGGGAATATCAAACAGGGTTGATAATGTCACAGGAAATAAATTAATACTAGGAGAAAGGGCTGTGCCAGTGAGAAGGCTGAAAAGCACCTTCTCAACCCACATGTCCTGTAGGCTGGGAGGATACAGGGGAAACTTGACAGTAGTTGAGAGCATCATAGATTTAGAGCAGGAAAGGAGTCTCTATTTTACAGATGAGGAAACTGAGGCCCAGAGATAGGAAAAAAAAAAAAGACTTGCTGAGGGTCCTGCTGGCTGTAATGGAGCCAGAAAGAATAACCGTGGCAA